TGCGCAATTCAATTTTATAATTATTATGTAAAATTAATTTTTTGTTTCTTTTTTTAAAAATATTGACAGTGTCGTTTGTATATTTTAATGTTATCTTACTATGAATTTAACATCAAAGTCAATAAGTCATTAAAGCAAGTCCCGTCAATATAACATTTCCTTGTTGATTCCTCAAAAATGACTTTAATCAACCGGCTAACTTAATCATGGTGAAAAACTGTTAACGGTGTAATTATACATGCAATGCTTTAATTGAACCTGCAATTTCACTATGGGCTCTGGCCTAGGGGGCCTCCCCCCTATATACGCCCCTGCTATGACCTATATGTGATGTGTCCCCGCACTTAGTGCCATATATACTTGTTACAAGTCAGTAACTATTCAAACTAATAAATCGTCGTCTATTATTATAAACGTACTTGTTATTTATATTTATTTTTTATTGGATAATAACACTTAACTTGTAGAAAAATTTGCATTAAATTAGAAAAAAGTAAATTACCGTAAAGAGTAGTAATTAAAATTGTTTTCATATTTAACATTAGGACTGTCATAATAAAATGTATTTTTGCCTACGGAAGTCACCATCGTTGTGTCGCGAGTGTGAACGTTTTCGAACGTGTTTTGATGACTGAAATAGTTTACTTTTTCTGCGACTTTATTTAGCATAATATACATGTAACGTGAATCACATTTATAAAAAATACTACCAAATAATCACCAGTTTTCACCATAATATATGGAGCTGCGCCTGATAACACCAATAACCTTTCGTTATCGTTTCCACCTTTAATATTTTTAGGTATAATTAATTCATTTATAAAACTTGCCATGGTAGGATAGTTTTATGTTTTTTATTCATTTCATGCTATCATTTTCAGCTGGTAAAATATCTATATTTGGAAATATAATGCCTATTAATATCAGAAGTTTCGTCTACCAAGAACTATTTATTATTCGAGTCTCCTATCAGTTTTCTAATTTCTGATACATGAAGTGATATTGTCTGAATAAAACTGAGATACGAATGGCGCTTACACCTACCTAATGTATTAATGTGCTTTTATCTAGAAGATGTTGACCAGTATGCTTTTCAAAAAATGCTCAAAATAATGGTACTTCATATTTATTTATTCCATAAGATATATTTGCTACAAATAAACTTCTGCATAACTCTTCATTAAAATAATCTACTTATGTTTAGGTAACTTAACATTCAGAGAGAAAAACTTGTTTTTTTAATTTTCTGATCATTTAATAGTTATTGTATGATGCTATTTCTATGTGTTACGTTAATTGTGATTTTTTTTACATACACGAGAAAAAATAATTTGTTGTAAAAATATCTTAAGTTATGGTGGAAATTCATTTTATTTTTTATATGGAATTTTTTTTAATACTATTGTAAAATAATATAATAATTATTATTTTTTGTTATTAATTATTATTAATGGCACAATTAAGAGGGCTGTGTGGGGTCTTAGCCCTCCCCCCCCAAAAAAACTAATGAATTGTGCCATGTATAGAGCAAGGACTTTCATGCATTTGCATGTTTTTTCTGGTTTAGTTAAACGTATGCAGAGTAAGTACACAATAAATTTCACAGCATTTGTGACCAAAAGCTAAAAGTTTTTAGTGCATATTTTGATGGTTTATTGAAAATCGAGCACTTTGGTGAATATTTTCCATGAATCAAGATCAACAATTTGTTATAAACTTATATAGACGATAGAGATAAATTTTATCTTGAAATAATAATAATGGTCAGTATTTATTATGTCTATTTTTATACTTTTATTTTGAATAGCAGGTACGTAGGATAAAAACATTAAAAACCATAGTATTAAGTAACTATCTATAGTCAGTGGGTGGAATAGATTAGTTCTAGTAGATTTGCCACGTGTGTGTAAGTTCAGAGAGTTTAATTTTTATATAACGTTTGTGAGTAATATGCCAAAAGAAAAATTGACAAAAGCTTATTGTTTGTGTAATTTTGTAATCGAGTTTGGTGGATCTGTATTTTCAACAGATAATAATTAAGAAAAATGGTACCCGACATTCAAAAAAATTCAAATCAATTTACTTATAGTGAATAATAATTAAATTAATTTTTTTAAGGGCATATTTTTAATTTTTTGATGCATAAGTATATGTTTTTAAATGCATATTTGATGATTTTTTAGTGCATGAAAGTCCTTGCTCTAGTCATGTATAATATGTTATGCTGTAAAAGTATAATAAGAGTATCCACCTAATCTTTAGCCTCCTAAATTTGAAATACTATTTGCAGATATGCCTTACATGGGTTGATATAAAATCCACCTGGTAGGCG